GCGCAAGTTAGCCATGTGGGAGCCCAGCATCTTTAGCCACCACACCACCTGCTGGCCCTGCTAGAAACACTTTTATGTTTTTATTTTTTTACTGTCAGAAGGTGCGCTTGCTAGAGACAGAGAGAGACAGAGAGAGAGAATGCATCCCCACTGGGGCACGGTTCCTCCATTTACCCTGTCGGGATGTGGGGCATGCATGCACACAGGCCTAGAATGTTTTCACCCTCTGGGGTCAGAACTTGAACCGTGGTCAGCCATATGGGATCTGGCTCCCTGTGCTCGGAGCTTACCCACTGTGCTAGGAGGCCAGGCCACTCCTCCCCGGCTTTTTCTTCATTTTAAAAATCACTCTTAATATGTATTCTTTATTTGAAATGATTTATGTAAGCTAAATCTCCACGTCTAGAGAACTGGTTTAGAGTAATACTTCACTAATACAGTTCCGGGATAAAATGGAGCTGACAGGACCTTGTTTTAAGGTAAATGATGATAGAACTACTTATATTACGAAGCTGACAGGATAAAATTTGTCCTTATAAAGTATTAGGGCCATTAAGTCCCAAATTCTAGGTGGGCAAGTCAAGTAGAATACACTTCTTTTTTTTTCAGAGAGATATTTTTGCTATAGGGCATGTGCTCTCACTGGAGAGACAGAGACAGAAAGCGAGAAATCCCCCTCAGGGGGTTAGCCACGCCACAATCCTTCTCCTCCGTTTTCCTCTCGGGATTTTGGGCACGCATACACATGCGCACAGTGTGAGTTTGCGCTTTTTTTTTTTTTTGAAAGTCCCAAGTTCAGCTTTATCATCTAACAGAAATCCATTCTCTGAAACATTAAAATTAATTGTTCCAAAGTTTAATTAAAAACACAATTTACAAAATATTTAATATTTTCTGAAAAGCATTTCCAAGTTCAGAATGAAAAAAAGTATGTACATAATATATAATCAAATCCCAGTTAAGCTCCACACCCCACCAGGTCCACACTCGGCAACATCTGTCTTTTTTGGGGTCTTCAAAATCTTGTTAAGTCTATGAAGTTGTTTTCTATTCGGGGGAAGGGATGGGAATCCCCACTGCTTTTCGAACACCATACATGCTGACAGTACCCCCTGGAGTTACTTGCTGTGCAAGTTCTTCTAGATTATTGGTCACCTGTTCAGCAAGATGCAT